TGCTGAGTACTGATCAGCTTAAATATCTAGGTCTCATTTTGGATAGGAAATTAAACTACAGATCTAATATCGATGAAGCAATTCACAAAGCCCTAACGTCTGTATGCTCCTGCACCAGAGCTATAAGAAAAATCTGAGGTCTGGAGCCCAAAATCGTAATATGGATCTACACCGCGGTGGCAAGACCGATTCTTTTCTATGGTGTAGTAGTTGGGTGGGATGCTCTCAATAAAAAAGTAAATGCTAAGAAAATGTACAGAGTGCCACCAATGGCTTCTATACTGATAACAGAAGCCATAAAGACAACAGGTACCAAAGTGCTCAACATTTCTCCCGACGAAATTGTACGCAAGAAATACATATGCCACGTAATACTGCCATTAGGCTTAATCCAACCAGTAAATGGACGTCTCCACATGTCGGTCACTGTACAATTTTTAACGGCCTCACTCAGTTTCCTACAAACGACCAGCCGCACTTTCAACACCAAGTCAATGAACCGTGTTTCCTCAAGAGAGCAATGGCCATTGGATACAGCCAGGAAAAGAGGAGCCATCCACGTTTACACGGATGGATCGAAACTGACTACAGCAGAGTTTTGCGGATGGAACTGATGGCTATCTCGAGGGCCCCATAACTGCTAGAGTGGCGGCTATTAAATACCTTAGAAATATGTCGCTGTCTTCAAAAGTAGTTGCTCAATGCCACCGATCTCTTAATGTTTGAATGTTTGAAAGAGCAATAATGTCAACGGATTTGGAGATGGATAGATTTCGCTTTTGAAAAGGTAATAATGTCAATTGAAGTAAGTGTCAATTGACCTTATTAGTGTTGATTTTGTTACCTGTCACCCGCCTGCGACAGTACTGCCGTTGGACAGGTGCGCAAAGCTTCTGTGATAGCCACGCACACCAGCCGGAGCAACTTGCTCACCCTTTGGGCTTAAACTAGGCTTGTCCCACGCAGGGAATTTTCTACGAAGGTTGCTTTTCACCTGGTTTACTGACATTTCTTCCATATCTCGGTTATCTCCGGAGCTCGATTGGCTTCGGTGTGGCATACATAAGGCATACATAAGTCACTCAAATATGCATAGTACAGCGACTGGCTTGGTTATGTTAAATGAAAAGACACTAACGCTCCATTGAGACCAGATGGAGAAGGAAGTGGCTTCACTTAGCATCTCCAATAAGGAACGAATTGCGTGCTTTAAGCGGATGCAGCACCAAACAATAAGAATGACAAATATGTATGTGAAAAGATAGCCTCATCAGTCGGCGTGATTAAAGATTGGTTAAGCAGCTTTGGGCTCAAACTACCCGAGCAAAAAACTGAAAAAATACTCATATCAGACTGTAAGAAGTTAGAGGAGGTAGCGTTGAAAATGTGTGACCACTTTATCATGACGAAATCCACAATTTAATACTTAGGAGTAGTGTAAGACAAGCGTTTTACTTTCAGCGCACACTTGAGATATGTGAGAGAGAAAGGAGCTTCAATGATCACGGAACTATCGCGAATAATGCTTGACATGCGGGGACCGAAATAGCACAAACGTTTGCTCTTAGCGAGTCTGATCAAGGGCCAAATACTTCATGCGGCCCCAATTTGGTCGAACGCAACACAGTGTCCAGCATACTTCCGCGGAGTCAACTCAACATACCGTTTGTGGGCGCTCCGAGTTTACAGCGTCTACAGAATAGTTTCAGATGAAGCAGCTTTCGTAATCGTCATTATGACAGCTGTGGATATACTGGCGAGAGAATCGACGCTTCTTGCATCCGCTAATTTAAATTGGCCAACGCCGAGTTCGGAAAAGCAGCATTACGGAGTTGCAAAACAAGTGGAATAGTACAATTAAGGGTCGTGGAACCTATCGCTGCATACAAAATCAGGTATCTTGAATAAATAGATTTTTACCTGTGTCAGTTCTTGAGGGGGAATTGCTATTTTAAGGCATAACTGTTTAAATTCAAGCATAAGCACGACCCGTACTGTGAATACTGCGGATGTAGCGTGGAAGAAGATGTCCGCCACATATTCCTTGAGTGCCCTTGATTCAATCGGCAGATGAACCAATTTATACTAGCTGTTGGATGGGTCTTTACGCCATAGTCAGTAGTCGACTATATGATGAAAGGAGGTAGTGAATGAGCATCAACCAGCGACATACTAACTTCAGTTCAGAAACACATGAGAAGCCTCGAGTGACAGCAGCGTATCACCAGTAATTAAACCAACTTAAATCGTAGCCGCGAATTAGAACCAAACCACGAAGTTCACCAACCAAAGCGTAGGCGCGGACTGGAACCTAGGCTATTCCAGCCGCCAATGCAGCGCGCGGCTTTGTTATTCATGCACCCGGAGAGCAGGTGCGGTGTGGATTGGAACCTGTCCGTTCCAGCCGCCAAGGCCGTGCGGCTTCAAATTTTAATAATTTTAAGATATTTGTTCTTACTATCTATAATAGCGAAATTATAATTTGTATTTGTATCTAGTAAGAATCTAAAAACAATAAAGTTTTTTGGTTTACAAGGACGAATAGATATTGAAAATGGGCTTCTAATAAATTTTATATTTTTAAGTTAATAAAGTTTGCAGGACGAAATTTGATAATGATAAATAATGATAATGACAATAATTAAAAAAAATATTAAGCAAATTTTCAAGGATATTTAAGGACAAAAGTTGTAAAGGACATTTTCCATAACCATTCGTTCTTATGCACCAATGTTATGTTATTTTATAATTATACAGAACTTTTTCTTTTATATGATACTTTTGCCTTTGTCGGCCGCTGTGGTGTAGTGGTAAGCAGTGCGCGCTTTCACTCAGCAACGCCTGGGTTCAAGCCCTGGTCAAAGCAACATCCCAAAAAAATATAGAAAAAAGGTTTTTTCTTAACAGCGGTTGTCCCTCGGCAGGCAATTGCAAACCTCCGAGTGTATTTCTGCCATGAAAAACAGCTTCTCATTAAAATACAATCGCCGTTCGGAGTCGGCGTAAAACTGTAGGTCTCTCTGCTTCGTGTGACAACATCAAGGCGCACGCCACAAATCGGAGGAGAAGCTCGGCCAAACACTAACATATGTGTAAGGGCCAATCTATTATTATATTATGATACCTTTATTGTTATATGTACTACATTGCATTGAATTTGTTAAATAATTTTTTGAAATAATCATATTTTTTAAATTTCAAAATCGTTAAAAAAATCCTGACGTCAGAGAGAAAAACTTAGTGCGCACTTTTGCTATAATTTACCCATAGTTTCGCAAATGTATTCATATTTTTGTGTGTAAAATTTACTTCCGCGCGGTGAAATAGTTAAAAAAGGTCTTTTTCTTTAAACAAGGCTTGGCAAAACCCACTAGGTGTAGCTCAGGACTGAGTACAACCGACTGGGACGAGCCTGCGAGCCTAGTGCTCAAACCACCTACCGAAGAAATACTCGACGGTGGTACTTGCAGAAGGCTTAGTTCGGGTTAAAGTCCCACGCAGACTATATAGGATATTCTGCGTCGTGACCGTAGTGTTAATTGCCATTTCAACCCCCACACCATTCCCACCGTTCGCACGTATGTACGTACAAAAGTACATACATCTGTGTTATAGATGGTACAATGAATAAGCATCACTGGTTGTTTAGCAAAATACAGTGCATTCCGGTTATAATGGACTCCATAAGATCGCGTCACATTGTCCTTTATAACCGAGTGTCAATTTTATCAGAATACAATATTTTTAAATAATAAAGAAATAATGTACATGTTTAAATACAAAATTATATACTTTTCATGGAAGGTAAGTGTCCGTTTTTCCGTTCCGGCATTTTCCTTAAAGTGAACAAATCACAGATCAAAAACCAACCGTCACTTACAATCTACCGCAGAAGCTGATTGCCTATTTTGACAGATTTCCGTAAACCAATGAACTTTGTTTGGCGGCCGCTGTGGTGTAGTGGTAAGCAGGGCGCGCTACCACTCCGCAGCACCTCGCTTCCACTCCGCAGCGCCAGGGTTCAAGCCCTGGTCAAAGCAACATCGCAAAAAATGTAGAAAAAATGTTTTTTCTTAACAGCGGTCGCCCCTTGGCAAGCAATGGCAAACCTCCGAGTGTAATTCTGCCAAACCAGCTACTCATAAAAATACAAATGCCGTTCGGAGTCGGCGTAAACTGTAGTTCCCTCCACTTTGCGTGACAACATCAAGGCGCACGCCACAAATCGGAGGAGTAGCTCGGCCAAACACTAACATATGTGTAAGCGCCAATCTATTATTATTATTATTGTTAATGAACTTTGTTTAAGTATATAGACATTTTCTGTTACGGAGACGGTTGCCTCTCTTTACTGAGTCCTGGGAATTACCGGACTTTTGTTGGGAGACTTTTTTTAATTTGGGCTGACAGCCCCGGTTACAATGGCCAAAAGCCGATATTTTTGTCTATTATAGGCGGAGTCCATTATAATCGAGTCTATTTTAACCGAGTTTTTTTATATATTTGAACTGGGACAAATAGATATATAATAACAGGGTTTCCATTTTAAGCGAGTCCATTATAAATGGATTACACTGTATCTACTCAAATATGTAAGTATGTATTTGCGTTTGTACTATCTGCGAGCTTCGCGAGGGTTGATCGCTTATGATTTTATGATGATTTTAGCGAATCAATACTAAGTAGATGCTTTTTTCCTATACATACATACATACATATGTACTATATACTCACAGTATCGATGCAATGCCAATAAAAAATGATTGATATATTTGTAAAAAAAAATACTTTCCTACGGCTGATTGGCTGGCTCCCTGACCGAGTTAATCAGCCAATAAAAACGAATCGGCGACTGAAAATTTTAATTATCGAATACTCAAATTTTGTTTTTTTTGTGTTCGTCGAAATATGTACATATGTATTTACATACCTATGTACATATGTATGAGAGTACATGTAAAAACAAAAACTATAATAAGTTTAATAAAAATGTTATTCACCTTGGTTTCTGTTGACATCAGGCGACGAATCGCTTCGGTCCGACTCTTGTTGTGTTATCGACATTTGTTCTTTGGGTTTCTACTTTCTTGAAAGATTGTGGCTCGGCTTTGTTGATGCAGCTGCAGTTGTACCCTGTGTACTATTGGTGTTGGTGATTGTGTGAGTGACGCTGCTAGTAATATCGGTGCAAGCGCTGTTTTGCTGGTTGCATATTAAGAAATTGTTTTTTGTTGTGTTACTTATTTGTACTTTTTGTAGTTCTTAAACTAATTGACGATGCCTAGATTCTCTTTGTTCTGAGAATATCAACGTCAAATTTATCTTCACTTAGTAAATGCTCTGTAAAAAGGTTTAATCTCCACTGTCATGTTTTTATGTATTTCATTTGTGTTTACTAATATTTTAAAAATTCACAGCATAAACAGTTTCACTCTATGTTTCTTATTAATTTTACTGGTCTCCACTAGCTTAATTTTTTTTGCGTCGTTGCCAATTGGCCAACGTTCTATTCTTTTTATCAATGAGTAATACGCTCAACTTCCGTCATTCTTCACCTATGCACCGACGCGACGGACACAAACTTCTACACTGACGCTCAGTCAATTTGTATGCCTTCCAAGAACTTCCAAAAATTTCATTCAAATATTTTTCCCAAAGTTGTTGTCTGCAAGTGAAACAACAAAAGTACCATCTATGAAGTCCAACTTTAGGAACCGAAAACGTCACTACCACAACAAAACAAACGCAATAATGACGACTTCTGATGACGCTTACTCCGCGACTGACGATTGACTAGAAAACGCCAAACTAGAAAATCCCAATAAAATATAACTGAGTGGTTGCTGCCCTCACCGCTGCTGCTGCTGCCGCGGCCGCGTCCGCGTCCGCTGTCGCTGTCGTCACTGCCCTCGTCATCTATGAGAACCCGAAATTCCAAATCAACAGCAAACCAAATAGAATTTGAAATCAACATTGAGCTATGTAGTCAGTGTTGCCACAGTCATTTTTTTTCCAACCAAAACCTACCAAAATTTTTTTGAGGTTTAATTTTTTTCCTAATGTCAAGTTTATTAAATATGTAAATAATAATTTAGTAAAACTAAGACACCCCTAGTACAATAGAAATAAATGTGTGTCTCTCTACACATTCATATTATAATTATTATTGGGTCGGGGGTACTTCCGCTGCGATCTAAGAAGGTCTATTGCGCTTAACCCTAATTGTAATCACTCCAGTCCTAGTCTATTTAAGAAGTTAAGCACTTGAAAAGGCGCCATGTTTCAAATTTTGGATGAAGAAGACAGTCGGAACGTGTTTCAGTATGCTATCTATGATACTTGGGCAGTCACATAGAATATGTTCTGGGGTCTCCTCCACCAGCTCACAAAAGGCTAGGACAATTTGGGCTCCACGCTTTGCGAGACAGTCAATGCTTTCTTTGCCTTCAAATCCTTCATGTGCCGGAACGCACCCCAGCGTTACGCTATTGTGGTCTTCCAAGTGGTTCAAAAGCTGTCCATAAGCCCGACGCTGTTTTAAAAACTGCTAAGGCCTTTATCCGAAATAATATTTATTTTGGACAAATGGGGCCATCTAAACAGACTTCGATTGCGAAGACTTCCGCCTGGAATATACATAGTTGGGCATGTGCACTTGGAAGTCATTGTGCGCTCCAGCAGGTCTCTTTCAAAAAATATCCGTTGGACTGGTGCCCATAGCTCCTGTGATGGCCACGCAGACCAGTCTGTGCAACTAGCTAAAGGTGGCACCCGCCTTTGCTTGCTTAGCTCTTGGCCACCAGACCAGTGCCGTATATGTGACAACGGGTCTTACTAACGCATTGAATACGTTACTTTTGGCGATATTCACCAAGTCTTAACATGCAGTCTCCGGCAGGTGGACAATAGTGGACTTCAGAGAGTTTATTGATTTCTAGATGAGTCCAATGGATGCTTAGATGTAGGCACATAAAGTATATACCTTGGATGTTCATATTCTATATACTTATATGTATTGTCAATAATTAGGGTTTACGTTGTACTTACTAAGTATATTTACATCTTTAAGATCGCAGTTATACGAAGGCACCGATGAAATATTTGTGTAAACCAGGTTGCTAAAATGTTTGGAGATACATATCTTATATTTTTCGCCAATAACTATTATTGTCGCGGAACCTACCAAAAACCAATCTAGTCTACCAACCTACCAAATAGAAAAAAACCTACCGGTTTTGGTAGAAAAAGCTCATGTTTGGCAACACTGTATGTAGTCCCGTCTAGGCCTACGCGTGCTTGTATTTGTGTTAATATGTATGCACGTAAATTTGTATGTATTCACGCACGTTGTAGGTATGAAGGTGAGGGATGTGGTATTTCTGTTGCTGACACTGCCGGCAGCGCGCCATACGCAGCTAGACGCAAGCATTAGATACATTGTGGGCATGTAGGTATGTATGTACGTCATCTATCCAATAGCCACTTGCATAGCGCTCAACAATGGCAGCAGCGTTTGCACGAACACGCACACACACACACACACACATTCATACACCAACACACGCACATCTTTTGTAAACGATCGCTCATACGCATTTGTCCCGAATTCGCTGTGCGTGCATTTATCTACGCCGCAATAACCGAAGCGAGGCGAAATAAGGCTGTACGTGCGTTTTATTGTAATAGATTTGTTTTAAGACGCGTTGAAGAAATGAACGTGCCTGGAATGTATACGATGTCATCCCCTATATAATTTATCTAGCCTAGACGATAATTTGTTACGCTAGCTCTCCGGTGCATACATATGTATGTATGTACATACATATGTAGCTAGAGGGTAGCAATGACCCGTGGCAGAGTTTCGAATTGCACTACTTTTGATGACTAAGCATCAAGGTGGTTTTCTTCTATTTTCATGGTCGCAATCCTAATGCATTTGGCAACTGGTTGAAAATGAAAATTAATTTTCTTTATACATATGAATGTATGTACATATGTATATACATACGGATTTATGTACCACATGTATGTATGTACATATGTATGTACATATTTATCTAGTTAGTTAAAGGTGAAAATTTTAATGCAGTGGAAAATTTGTGATGAACTACTTTTAATTTCAGAGTTGAAGCTGAGTCGTACTTAAAAATGACTCGCATTATTTTGTAATATACATTAGGGTGTCCCGTCAAAAAATTTTTTTTAGCTACACTATCGCAAGAGGTATCAAAATTTGCGTAATTTTACACATGTTAAGAAAAAGGTAAAAAAGTCAGAATTGTATGTCATTTTGAGGGCTCTACCACACCATGAAGTTTTCCACGTATTTTATATGAGAAAAAACACTTATATTAAATTTCGATACCTCTTGCGATAGTGTAGCTCAAAAAAATTTTTTTACGGGACACCCTAATATACATACATACGTACATACATTAAGGATTGATTGTCTTACTTATATAGTTGATTGCGGCTGGCGTTTAATAATTTTTATACCCGTTTACATTTGTGCACATGCGATTTATGACCTTGCTCGCATAGCGGTGATTTTAAGCAGGCTAAAACAACCCTGCAAAAAGTGGGACTAGGTTAAATACTAGTGCGGGACCACGCTACCTTGTAACCAACACTAGTAACCAAAATGATCCAAATATATGGAGAAAATATGGTTACATTAACATTACGATGTCATTGGACCTGACCACCTCTGGTCCAACACTGCATAACATGGGACCACCTATACAACTACTCCTTTTGGACCATGGCACATTCGACAGCCCAGTCATGTTGCCGATGGGCCACGAAGGGGTCGTTCTCAACACATATACATATATCAGTTTTTTACGTTTGAAGTAGTCCAGGTAAGCATAAAAAGTTACTAGTATGCAACCTGGTCCTTTTGCACATACTTTAAAACTACGACCCAGTGGACCGTGGTCCTCAAATTTTTGCAGGGTATGTTCACTTTACAGCATAAATTACCTTATTCCGTTCAAATTACTTCACATAAATCAAGTACGTTCACCTTTTCTTTCGTAATTTCAATAGATATGTGTACGTAAGGGTGTGTGGTTAGATTAAAAAAATAAAATAAAAAATGGTTGCATACCTACAGGCATTTTTTTTTAATTTCCTCAACAGTGGGGGCTAACATACATAAATTAAAAATCTTTATTTTCTCTTCAGGTTGTTCTTGACAGAGCTGTAAAACTGTGAAATCATATGAAATTAAAAATCATCAATTTTATGTTATTATGTTTTCATTGAATTTTTCCTTGTTGGGGAATGTGGCTTATAATTTTCCAATTCTACATTCACTCAAAGTAGATACGATTGCACACATTAACATATTCAAAGAAAGATTGAAAAAACTGAATGACGAAACATTAACTTTTAACACTGAATAAGCATTCAGATGAATGCAGCTTTTGCTATGTGTGCACACATTCATTCAGTACCAATCAATCGATATAAATATTCTAAATACACAAAACCCACTGAAAAATACGCAAGGTTGAATTTTATTGAACAGATTTCAAAATTGCAACACGAAAAATAGTTTATTGAGCGTTATCATTAATTTGTTTCACTTAAATTTGTACAAATATTTATAATAAATGAAAATATTAATTAGAGAAATATTGTTCTGCCAAGAATGTCATTATGAAAAATGTCAATTATTAACGATTTTTACATCTCTGTTTCGAAAATTGTCAGCTTTCTAAATAAGTATTACCAATGTACCAATAAAAGGTATGTGCAGAAATTATTACATATGTACATACCTATATATCTACGTTAAAATAAGTAAACAAATTTAAGCGCTTCTACTTCTAACTTTAGATATATACATTTTATTATTTATTTAAAAAATTCTTAATACAAGTTTCTTCGTACTTTTTTCTTCGCTATTGGGTCAAGCATTTAATAAAGATTCTAAAACCTGATTTGTGGGTTTGTGGTGGTTTCTACCATTTACAATAAGTTGCAAATTATCAACTTTTCTCAAAAAAAGATTTAACAAATCTGTGTGCAAACCCCTTTTTATTTTAGTGTGGTAGAATCGAAAAAAATGTGGTAGATTTGAATAAGATGTGGTAGATTTTCCAATTCATATTTTATTGGGTATACATATCGCACACCGTCGTCAAAAGAAGCACAACTCAAAAATTAAATCGGGAAATATAATTGCTAGT